CATGGCCACATCACTCTTTCATGACAGGATTTTGGGGCGTGCAAGATGGACAACTGCATAGGATCTCAATTTTAATAGAGCCTAATATTTACACATTTCGTACTTATTTGAAATAAAAAATCATATATTTTACTGTAGGAATTGTGATTTTTTAAATGAGTTGATGTTACACCGTTAAGTTCATATTAGTTTTAAAGATTGCGCTTATACTTTTAGTACGGTCTCATTTTATTTATAAGAACGGGGCAAAAAAAAAAAAAAAAAAAAAAAAAAAAAAAAAAAAAAAACCTCCTACTCCTTCTGCCACCTACACTTGCCTAGAAAGATTTTGACAAATAACATTTTCCTAATTTTAGCTCTGAGTTAAATAAAAATGAGAGACATATAGAATGATATGTCACAACACAACTCAGATCATTACTCAGATCTTGAGTTTGGGACTCAGATTTTAGGACCTAATTGGGCATAGAGAACATGAACCACACCATGGCTGCAAAATTCGAGTTTGCCCTGCAAAAAGACACCCAACATATGAAAGGACTCTTTTACTCTTGATCTAAACGTCTAACAATTGCTAGGTTCACGGAAAAATTAATTTTTTAATCAAGGGTTTAATTCGTCTAAATTAAAAGACGATGACCAAATGTGAAAAATCACAATATATATATATAGTCGGACGACCTTTGTTGAAATTAACTCATAATACTTTGTTGTATATAATATTTGGAAGTGTAATTGTTAGCAATAGTTTCCAATAAGGCAATAAATAGCTTGCCGCTACCGAAATAATTAAAAGAAGGATCACACTTGTGTGAGACCGTCTCACAGATCCTTATTTGTGAGACAAGTCGGGTCGGGTTAAGTCAATATGAAAATGTAATACTTATACGAGCAAATGTAATACTAAATCAAAAATAAAAAATATATATTTTTTTGAATGCTACTGGCTCTATTACAATGTAGTATCTGTTCATATACTTTCTCAACCTACTGAAACACAAATAACCAATAACGCCTCCACTGAGGCTCGATTTCACAACCTTCCAAATGGAAGTCCAACCCGGGTACCATTAGATCACATAGTCTTGGTAAATAAAATGTTTGTTACTTATAAAGAAAAACGTAATACTTTTGAGGACAAATGTAATACTAGCATTGTTGTTGTAGTATCTCTTTTGAATTGGTCTTGAATCTATCTCCTGATTGACTATGAATCTTCTTGGAATCCTTCTGCTGAGTTCGTTGGTATGATTTATATATGTATTCATACCATTGCAAGACCTATTTTGGATATAAAAGTATATATACGTAGTTTTACGTGTTGGAGTGAGTTTACCATTATTCGCTAATTTTGTAAAGTATGTTTTCAGGATCTGAATCTTGTGGCTAGTTGAGAGCATGGCGTAGAACTAGTATCCCGAGTTGTTCATGATATAATGGTTTAGATTAGATCTTGAAATGTTGTATAGATGCTTTGTAATTGGATTTGTAGATAGACCATTTGTAGCCCGTGCATTTAGATTTTTTTTTGGGAGAAGGGGGATACCCAACTAATTCTTGCTGCCAATCTCAGCACGCCTCAAGTTCCTCTCCTATCTCCTCTTTGCTTACCTATCACATTAAAATTAAACCAAGTATCAAGGTCCATACTATGAAATTGAGGATGAGCCCCATAAGGTTGAAAGACTTCCCATATCTCTTTAGCTTTGGCGCAGTCTCTCAAGCACCGCTGCATTACAACACGGGCATCTTGAATCAGACGTGAAGCCTCTACGAGCTCTCTCCGAGTTTCTCATTAATCTCTTGTGCTTGATGAGCCAAAGAAAAGCACAAATCTTCTTTGGACGAATTAAAATCATTGACTATCAATTGTTTCATTATTAGTTCTTCCGTGAATCTAGCGTTAGGTAGACATTTAGATTAGAGATAAAAGAGTCCTTTCAAGTTCTTGAATCTTGAACGCAAGTTGTTTGATTGAATGATGCAATTGAAAGTCTCTAAGAAATGTGGGCGTAAATTCCAATCAGCATCATCAATGATATGAATGATTTGGTATGGATGTATACTGAATTACTGATATGGATATTTCCCTGCTGTGCTGGCTTTATAGACATTGATCAGTATACATCCATATCAAATCAAACTGTATATATTTTCATGAATTATAATTACACAGCTAAAACAAAATCAAATCAGCAAAATAGAAAGCCTCAATTCCAAGCCAGCAAAATCCCCAACAAGCTTTAGCTCTTGAATTATATTTGACTAGTTTAGCAAGTGTTTGCTTAAGGAAATATAATACAACATTCAAGAATCTATAACAATTGAAAAGTGAAAAAAGTTACCAATTTTGGTCCATAAAAGACGACCCTTGTAGTTTGCAGATTGGGAAAGGCGACTGGATTTGGTAGATTGCTTTCGGTAGTGGATTCAAATGTAACAGTGCGGTCTGGAAATGCAACCAGAACCTTAAAAACCCGACGATGGACCATGAAATTACATATATATCCTCAAAAATCACAGTCAACAAACGGTCAAATAAACAGAGGATCAAATTATGTTAAAATTACAAAGTTAAGGACTTAATTGGTTGAAATTGAAAGTCGAGGACCAATTTGTGAATTTAGCTATAGTCGAGGGACCATTTTGGGTATTTACTCTTCGTTCAAATTAAAAGACGAGTAGGGGTGTTCATTCGGTTAACCGAACCGTTTTAACCGAACCGAATTAACCGAAATTTTTTTTGCCTTAACCATTAACCGAACCAAAATGCGCTCTACCGAATTAACCGAACCGAACTTTTTTTCGGTTAACCGATTAACCGAAATTTTTAACCCTAAAATTGAAAATCCTAAAAATAACTCCTAAAATAATAAATTCAATTAAAATAAAATACATATCATAATAAATTCATATCAAAACATACAAAAATAATACCATAAGTCCATAATCCATTTGACTATTTGGGATTTTAGTACATATTATATATTTATATTTAATATTTAATATATTATATATATATATTCCAAAATTCGGTTAACCGTTCGGTTAATTCGGTTAACCGACACTTTCGAACCGAATTAACCGTTAACCGAATTTTGGGAAAACCTTTAACCATTCTCCGAACCGAAATATTTCGGTTAAAAAACGGTTAACCGAATTATGTCGGTTCGGTCGGTTAACCGAAATTTCTCCGAAATTTGCACACCCCTAAAGACGAGGATCAAATATGGAAAGGCATTATAGTCGGAGTACCTTTGTTGAAATTAATTTATAATACTTTGTATATAATATTTCGAAGTGTAATGTTAAGCAATAATTTCGAATAGAGTTCTAGTACATGTACTCTCAAATTATACTCTCTCACTTTTACTTCCTACATAGCAAATAATGATGTGATATGTTCCAGGAAGGATTTGTGAAAGGAATATAAGGCTAACCCCATTTTAGAAATTTCTCTCACTTTCTAAAATGAGTCTCACTTGTACATCATCAATTTTGCATATAATAAAATAACATTAAAAGAAATAATAAAAATAAAAAAAGACATCAAAAGCTATGCAGGGTGTCCTTTTCAGCAGCTTTCCCTCTCATTAGCAAATTCTCTCTCCTATTTTTAATTTAGCAAACTCTCTTTCCCATTTCAATACACATCAGCATAAAAAAAATAAAAAAAAATGTATTCTCTCTTCCATGTCACTTAGAAAGGAGTAACATTTCTGGGATGTGGTTAGCCTACGTTGAGAGTAAAAAGTGAGTTTATATATAAACTCTGTTTGGTAAAATAGTTAGCCTATCAGTCAATTTTAGTTTATTTGACTAACTTCAAAATGCTAAAAAAAAAAAAAAAAAAAAATTCTTTTACAAAGGAAGAGGGATACCCACGTAAGAGAATAACCCAATACCGGCAATTTATATCCTACACCACGGCGCGCGTTGCACTATGCGCCCAGATGCAAAACGACGTCGTTTTAATTATTATTTTTTTTTTTTTGAAATTTCCCGCCCCATGCAGTAGTTTTTTCTTAAAAAAAAACCCGTTGTTCAAGAATGTACATAATGTTATACTAGAATACACATAATGTTATACATGAATGTACATAATTATATAACAAAATATACATACTCTTTTTAAAAGATAATACACATAATCTAACATAATACATAATAAACATAAACTTTTAACATAATACACATCAACTCTTAACATAATACACACAACTTTTCTGATTCGGATGTACATAATTGTATAAAAAGAATGTACATAATTGTATAAAAAATACACATAACTGTATGAACCAATACATATAACGTTGTGAACAAATACACATAATCTCAGCAACTTCCTACCGCGCCACCCAACACTACCCCAAAACGACGTCGTTTTGGGAGGCACGCGGCGCACAGTGCTATGTGCGTCGTGGTATAGGATATAACAATTGCCCAATACCAATGAACCACAAACCACTTAGGGGGCGTTTGGTTCAGGTTATATAACATAACCATAGGAATGTGACATTCCAAAGCTCACATTCCGGTGTTTGGTTCATATTATCTTAGGGAATCTGACATTCCCAAAGAATGTCATATTCCCTCCACATAGGATTTTGAAGGGAATGTGATTCCCTTCAAAATCTTAGGTAATGTAAGATAACCTTGGTTATCTTAAGGATATTATAGTGTGTATAAAAGATAACCCTAAATCAAACATGATTATATTACATACCTCAATTTTAACCAAACACAGGAATCTAACATTCCCAATAATCTAATATTCCCAGCAATTTAACATTCCTTAAGGTAATCTGACATTCCGTGAACCAAACGACCCCTTAATTTAAAACAACTTTTATATTATCAAATAATCACTCTCTAATTAACTCAATCAATTAAAAGCTAACGGCCCAGTTACCAAATAGTCCATCGTATTTTCCTTTCCAATATGGCAATAAATAGCTTTCCGCTACCGAAATAATTGAAAGTAATAATATGCAATATCTTAAAAGGCAATTAACGCAGTTGAAGTTAGAAAAGCAACGTCAGTTTATATATATGCGCCATGGCGATGATTCTTCATTCAGATCCTCCAAACCTGTGAACTCTGATGTTCATTTTCCCACTTCCAGAATCATCGTCCCAAACCCTAACCCTAATAGCGAGAAAGAGAGAGATAGAAGGGAGTATTTGTTGACTGAGAAGATTCAAGCTTGTATTGCTACGTATATGTGCATGTACTACTGTTATTGAAGAGAATGGCGATAATTGGCGATGCGCTTCGACAGGCGTTCATGCCGAAGAACGAGTACGAGAGCCTGCGGGAAGAGGATAAGGCTTGGCTCCGGCTGCGGAAGCCTTTCGTAGTGTTCTCAGTAGCTCTAATTTCGATCGCGGTTTTGCTTTCCACTCTGATTAGCTTCAGCATAGTGTTCCCGGAAGATCCGGCACGACGCCCCTTTTGCGGGGACGTACGAATTCAACCACTTTCTATCAATATCACCGCCTCGGCAACGACGACGACTATAAGCGGTGGGGCCGGCAGAGGTGGTGACTCCGATAGGAATTTTGGGGCTTTTTATCTCACCAATCAGGAGACTGTGGATTATTATTGGATGGTTGTGTTTATACCGTCGTTTGTTGTTTTCGGCGTTTCTGCAGTGTATCTGATTTCAGGTATGGATGCTTCGTCATTATGAGGTTGCTACTCAATTTTACTTAAAGAAGTTATTTGGACTTGATTGTTAATGCAGTTCAGCTGATAATTGCAAATAGCCCGGGGAGTTAATGGATATTAAATAAGCTCCAAATTTAATCACTTCACAATTTCTATACTCATTTTGTCTGGTTGAGATGTGTTGTGACAATTTCTTGTTCAATGAAGGTCTTTATCTTTTCATTTAAATGACTATGGTATTAAGTGGATGATATTTCAAAAGAAATGCCCTAATTAATTGATTTTCTGAAGCAATGCTCAAGTTTTAGTAACCATCATAGCTTGTTACTTTTTCCACCTCAATACGAAGTAGCATTAATCAGCTACTCCGTATTTGAGTTGCCTGATTTGATTATAATTTAGATGGACAGCCTACAGCAAAAATAACTTTCCACAGAAGTGGCAGTTGAAAATCAAAAGAAAGTTTCCAATTGTCATTTTAAAAATAAATTTTCCATTAGGACATTTTATCATTTATCACAGTTATGGTGGACTAATAGAAAAAGTATCACTCCAGTTTTGCTAGTGTTGGTTCAATTGTGAGGTATTGGATAATTATTGTTCAATAATCCTTGCCAAGATTTTGAGATGGAGGGGCAGGTTAATTTTTCAGTTAATTGGAGTTTAAATCACGCTAGACATGTTCTGGTTTCTCTTAGTTATGGAGGAATAGTGCTAATTGTGTCTCTCCATCTTCTATTTCTATGCAGAATTTCAGAACTTCTATTTTTTATAAGTATATTGTAATACTAAGTCAATTACAGTGTACTTATCATAAAAAGAAACAGAGTATCCAACTTTAGCTGATGTTGGTCCCATGTCAAGAATAGGTTAGGGAATTATTCTTCAAATTATTTTTGTCAAGATTTTGAGATGAAGCACATGTTAATTTTGCAGATAATTTTAGTGCAGTCAACTCTCAACTTGTTATGTATACATCTATCAGAAAGAGAGATGATCATTCAAACAGATATCTAACAGTGGTTATGCCTATGACATGTAGAAATGTAGCTACTTGGTAAAAAATATATGTAGAGAAATGCTATTATCTCCCATATAAATGATTCCTAGATAAATTGATATCACCTAGAAGAAAATATATACATATATGGATATGGAGCTGAAAATGGTGAGCATATGAAGTCTAGCATAAGATCTATGAAGGATGTGAACACTGATCAACTTCAATTTCCTGGAATATAGCTATGTTACAGTATTTAAATGTTCAAGGGCTGGCTGGGGTTTAGTTGGTGATATGCTCACTAGTGAATGTTTCATATTTATCAGAGCTTCTGAAAGTATTGTTAACTAGAAATAACACCTATTATGTGTTGAGGTGTAACAGTGTAAAGTCAAAATCGTTCCCAATTATCTGTTTTTGGATAATTGATAGTTACTGTTTTGCTTTCTCATATATATTGGATTTATCTATATTGCAGGAATTGTTGTTGCATATACTGCTCCTTCAAGGCATGGATGTTTGAAGGTAGTTGAGAATAACTACTGTGCTTCTAGAAGAGGTATGCTTCTTGAATTCATATTTTGTTCATTATGCTTGAATGCCTAAATAATATTCTCACTGGATGATTCTTTAATGACCTACCTGGCTAATCATTGTTATCACTTATGAGACAATAATTTTACAATTTGCAGTTCCTGCCTTGCAAAGATGGTTTCTGATGTGTTCCTATAAAGTCCTATATCATTCTTTGTAGTGAATTTGTTTTTAAATGGATTTAACATAGTCTCAAAAGTTTTCCATAGAAAGAGTTACATATTCATTATTAGGTTCTAAAACAACTGGAACATTGCAAGTTTTTTTTTTTTTTTTTTTTTTTTTTTTTTTTTTTTAAAGTAATTTTATCCATCTATTAAATGGGTTCATATGCAGTTAAAGCCTTATCTATGTAGGTTATGGGGTGTAGTTACAAGACTTTACGTCGTTTCAGATTCAAGTCTTAGTTCAGTTAAATGCCTAGATACCATTAATTTTATACTAATATTCTTTACTCTTATGTGGGACTGTTGTAATAGTTGCTTCATCTACTCTTTAGTGTTTCTTTTAGCCCTATTGTGGTTGTAATATCTAATTGTTTCACTCAAAAATGGCTACTTGTACTTGAGCATGCAATCCTGGTTGAAAATGATAAGCATTTTTTCCACTAAAGGTTTCTCAAGTATTGAATTTTTTCACATTTAGTCTGCAACTTCAATATCAACCATTTAGTCCTCAACTATTGAGAATTTGTTAGATTTAGTCTTCCACTCTTCCGTCACCAAATCCGTTATCCGGCCTTCAACAATTTCCTTATGTGGTTCCCTTGAATAGTTGAACCTTATCTGTTAATCTCAAGTAGTTAAAATCCCCAAATTGAGAGTTAAAACCAGACTCCATGCGCTATTGAAAACTATACTTCCCCTTTCGTACCACTTGTGGAGTCTAATTTTGACTATAAATATTGGAATTTTGATTTCTTTGAACTAACTAATGAAGGTTTCAAAACACCCACCTATGAAAATTGCAACTTTACCTTGAATTTGAAGTCGGTCAAGGATTTGGTAACAGAAGACTGAATCTGGCAAATTTTCAATATTCCAGAACTAAATGTGAACAATTATAAAGTTGAGGATCAAATGTGGAAAAACTCCTTCAGTACAAACTCAATGATAAATACTCATGAAGCTTTCCTCTTTACAATTATTAAGAAACCAAAACATAACATGTTATTAGCATGAATGTGTAGGTATTTCTTGTACTAGTTTGTTTTTAATAATTGATGTTGTTATTCACAGGAGGAGTGCGATGTCTATCAATTCTCAACATTGTTTTTGCTATCATTTTCGGACTTTTAGCACTGTTTCTTGGTTCAACCCTGCTCACTCTTGGAAGCAGCTGTTCTGTGCCCCTGTTTTGGTGCTATGAAATCGCATCATGGGGGCTGGTAATTCTATATGGAGGAACTGCCTTCTTCTTGAGAAGAAAGGCTGCTGTAATTCTTGATGAAAGTGACTTCACCGGACACAATCTTGGAGTAGAAATGCTTGAAGCAAATCCCGTTGAAGTCACTCCAGAGATGGAGAGACGCATAAATGAAGGTTTTAAGGCATGGATGGGTCCATCTTTTTTGTCCTCCGATGAGGAAGATGAATCTGACAACTATATGGAAGTATCAACTTTATCTCGAACCAATTCTAGCCGTCAAAGAGTGTAGTGTCATCCTCAAATCTTCTTACATCTTATTGAAGCCTTCTTTCCAAACCAACAAAGTGCCAACGAGAAATGTGATGTGCCATCAATTTTCCCAACTTGGAACACTGCAGGGTTGGACCTAGTGTATGGAAGGCGTCAGTTGACAGTTGTATAGTTGTTCATACGACTGATCCATAATGCAGGATTGAAGAGACCATAAGATTAATTCATTCAGATATAGAGTTTCAAAGCTGTAAAAAGTTAGCTGAGAAAAATTATATTCTTGCTTGTCAGGCCAGGGTTGTTAGATAGTTGATATACAAACGTTTCTGCTAATCTTTTCTGGAATGATCACTAACTGATGCAACGTATTAAATTGTGTTTAATTGATTTTTGAGACAGGTTTTCATACTCAAACATTGAACCAATAATATGCAAGAGCATCCTGAATGGTCACAAATATCTACCAGCCAAAAAAATCATCTACGTTACCAATTTTTTTTTTTTAAATAATTGGGTAAATAAAAACACAATATAAATATTGTGATGTAATCATTTAACAAAAATCTGACATCTATGTTATCTTTGATAAATTTTGTGTCCTGATTGAGCGGTCGTTTAATCGCAAGATTAAAGCCATTCAATCTTATTTAGGGGCTGAGTACAAAAAATTACACACTTTATTTGTCTAGCTAGGAATTAATCACAGACAATCATGTGCTTACACTCATGAACAAAATGGTCGTGTCGAAAGAAACATAGACATATTTTTGAAACTGGCTTGACTCTCTTGGCTCATGCCTCTGTTCCACACAAATTCTGGGATTTATGCCCAATTGTAACCAGTTGGTTCTTAGAGACTCTGTTTATTTGATAAATAGAATGCATTCTATTGTGTTAAATAACTCCAGTTCCCATCTTATGTTACATAAATATCTTCCATTCTACTCTTTTCTTCGTGTCTTTAGATGTCTATGTTATCCCCATTTAAGACTTTACAATCGTCATAAAATGTCCTACAGGTCTTCTCTTTGTGTCTTCTTAGGTTATCCAGAGTCTTTTCGGGGTTATAGATGCATGGACTTACAGACTAACAAGGTTTATGTGTGCAGACATGTTTGGTTTGATGAAGGGATCTGATCTTTCCCTTCGCCTCTAAAAATATTTTGCAGGAACCATCGACTAAGTAGAACCAGCCGTGGGCTGAGTCCATCCTTCAACCTCGTCCCACGGCTTCTACTCATGTTCGGCCTGACCAGCCCGTGCCGACTCAGCCAGTTCCAACCGAACCAGAACAGGCTAATCAGCTCGAATCGCCTGCTTCACCGGTTGCACCCACTGCATCGACAGTTGCACCCGTTGCTCGTCCTCGCGGCTGACCGCGTGGGCGGTCCACTCGTCCCACGGTTCGATTACATGCCATGGCCACACGGAGTCGGTCACAAGCTCCACCTATAGTTCTGACTGCACAAGTTTGTCTCACTTAACCTACATGCTACACTCAGGCGGTTAAATATCCAGAATGGCGTAAGGTAATGGATCAAGAGTTCAATGCTCTTCTTCAAAATGAGACATGGTGCCTTGTTCCATCTACATCAAACATGAATGCTATTAGTTGCAAGTGTGTATTCCACACATAAAGGAAAGCAGATGGTTCAATTGAAAGACACAAAGTAAGGTTAGTGGCTAAATGATTTAATCAAGTACCTGGACATCATTTCTTTGACACATTCATCTTAGTGGTGAAACCCACTACTGTCTGGTTACTTATCTCTTTAACTACTACTGAAGAATCTCCAATGAACGGAGCAATTTTAGAGAGGAAGCTCAGAAGAGAGGCTGATGCCGAGGAGTATAAAACGAGGTGTGTTTGAAAGAGGAGGGGGGGGGGGGGGGGGGGGGGATTCATCAATCTCTGCACCGAAGAATTTCCAAATGTGCAGATTGGCGTGAGTTCCGTTCGCCGGCAGTAGTCTAGCGCAACAGAATTCCCCTCTGACACAGCAATAGTTCCCATTCGTGCACAATTGTTCTCTATGGTGGTAATTCCAGTCGGTGGCAGCAGTTTGTTTTTAGGGTAGCAATTTTCAAGCGAGCATCGCTCAATTTTGGGAGCATTAATTCAATGGTTAGCAGTAGAATTTTCCAACAGCCCGACAACGACGCCAAAAATTGATGGACAATTTTAATATTATCTTCGCAAGTGCAAGAATCAATTGTAGTTTAGCGTGCAAAGCAATGGTCGCACACACATGGAATTGATACGATGCAACTGAAACTTCATTTTATACTCTTCAAAATTATTTCCTTCAATTATTTTCATCTTTATAAACTGCATCGTATCAATTTCTTGTGGGTTCGACACTTGCTTTGCATGCTAAACTACAATTGACTCGTGCATTTGCTACTACCAATGTCGTATACAACGAGATTTCAATAATGTGTAAATACAATCAGTGATATTATGTTCTTTTAAATGACAAAATTGCTATATATCTAGAAAATATATATATTTTCCATACAAATGAATTATGATAGCAATGATAAATAAAATCTTCAAAGTTACAGCACCGCATGCGTACATCTACACATTAGCTATTAATTTGAGCAATTATTTGCACAAATTCAAGCAATGATAACATCAAAACATATAAACGATTCAAATCATATTTTCAATTGCACTATGTAATATTTGATGTTTTAATTTAAATAATTATATATCAATCCAAATATTCTTAGGGTGGTGTATTCAATCATAACTTTTGTAGAGTTTTAAAGACTTTTAAAATTATAGATTTTAATAAACTTTGATTGACTTTCATAGAGTCGTTCAAAACTTTTTAAAACTTTATAAGACTCTATAAAAGTTTATATAAAAAATATTTATAGACCTTTATCAACTTTTTATTTTAAAAAGTCTACAAAAGTCATTGAAATTCTAAATTGAATACATCCTTAAAAACTTTCAATGATTTTGATTCTTATCATTTATAATTTTCTTACAAAATATTTATAATATATCATAAAATTCTTCTTATTATATAGTTCTTCACTCAAATCAGCATTATCAACATTATTATTTTTATCCATAGTATGCTGAGATTTCTATGCTAATTACGTATTCTTCAAAAAAAATGTTAATTACTTTTATATATATATATATATATATATATATATATATATATATATATATATATATATATATATATATATATATTATTAAACATCAACAAAAAAAAAACAATTTCATTAGAAATTCATAACAATATTGAACAATAAAATTTATAATAAAAGAATTGATCAAATAAAATATTTAAAAATATAATTACAAGTTGCATAAAATAAAAATAAAAATCTAATATTAATAATATATATAAAAAAAATTATACTTGATATATTGCTAGGCATCACACAAAGTACTATTATTTGCAATAGCAATTTGAGAATCAACAAGGTGCTATTGTTTGCAACCCCAAATTGTTGTTGCGAACAGTAGTTCTCTATTCGTAGTAATCTGTTGTTAAAAATATATATATATATATATTACGAATATAAACATAAAAAGAATAAAAATCAAAATATATAAGTATTTATATGAATATTATGAACCATATACTAAAATTTGACGATGAAAAATTTACTTTGTTTATGTATTTATGGAGAATTAGAGAAAGTTAGGGATAAAAATTTCATAGAAAAAATAAAAATCAATATAAACAAGCAATAATGAAGTAAAAATAATATTATTTCGAATTTTTAGATGAAGATTGTAAAGTTTAGGAGAGAGAAAAATTAGTAGAGTTTAGATATGAGGAAAATATAGGATAATGAAGAAAAAAATAATTTTATTGAATTTAGATAGGTTTATAAACTTTAAATATGGAGAAAAACTTGAGTTTAAATAGAGAGAGAAAACGTTCAAAGGTGTTAGAAAGAAAATTTTGAAATCTTGGAATTGATGGTTGGATTTCAACTATTTATATTTGAGAAGGAAAAGTCTACAAAATCTTAAAATTAAAAAGTCTACAAAAGTTTATAACTTTTTGAATACCACATGAGTTTTAAAGACTCTTTAAAAGTCTTAATCGAATACTACATGATTTTTAAAGACTATTTAAAAATCTTGATTGAATACCGCCTAACTTTTAAAAACTCTCTAAAAGTTTGAATTGAATACCTCCAAACTTTTAAATTAAAGTTCATAAAAGTCTTTAAAACTTTATGAAACTCATGATTGAATACACCCCCTTTAATATATTATAACAAATTCATTCCGTGCATCGCACGGGCACAAATACTAGTTTTATAAATAAAAAAATAAAAAAATTAATGCGTCAGGCGCACTGTCAGCGCGCCTGACGCGCCACACGGGCGCGTGCAGTGCACGCGCCTGTGTGACATTTGGTTGTGCGCAAACGCGCACAGCTTTTTTTTTTTTTTTTTTTTTTTTTTTTTGACATTAATTGGGTGTTTGCAGGAGAATTCTTTTCTAAAATAACCTCATCCCACATTTGCTATTAACCCCACCAAGTTAAATGATCTGACATTAACTCCCATTTCACCATTGATGTAGATGCTCTAAGCTTATTTTTGTGTACTAGTTTATACTACTTTGAAGGCTTTTGATGTAACTTTATAGTTATCCCTTGAATAAAATTACCAGATCTATCAGAAAATTTTCTTATGTTATTTACATAGTTTTTCAAAATCCCTCTCTTTTATAACGAACTATTAAGAGTATAAACATATTACCCAAAAAGAGAAAAGCAATAGAAAAATTATTACAATTATTGGTTAAAACTAGTATAGTGTAAATTATTAGGAAGACCCGTGAAAGAGAGTTAAGTGAACAGTCGAGCAGAATGACAAAAAAAGTTGAACAATCCCTAAGATGTCTATATAATGTATGAGTCGAAAAAAATTATGGCCCTGTTTGGTAAATGGTTGTTAGCTAATTGTGTTAATGAGAGAGTATAACTAATTAATAACATTAGCTGTTGTAAAAAAATATTTGGTAAATTAGCTGTTAGTTAATAGCTGTTTGGTAGAATTTCTTTTCTAAAAAAGTTGCTTGAGCTAATGAACCAAACACTTATATTGATATTTTAACTAAATCAAACAATTAATAGTGGTCAAATAAATTAAAATTGATTTTTTTTACCAAACAAGGCATGTTTGATAAATCTAAGGCGTAATATTTGAAAATGTATGTTGTTTAGAAATTGATAGGAGATTATAGAAATTTTTAAAAATAATGGTGTTTGATTTTATTATGTTATTTGCTTTGTAAAATTCTTAAGAGTATAAATAAAATTAGTAACTCCACCTCTTTTAAGGTTTAAAAGATGTTAGAACTAAACAATGGAATAAAATTATTAATAATAAAAATAATAGA